CGTTTTTTTTTTTTTTTTTTTTTTTCGTTTTGCACACGTAAATGAAGACTTATAGTTCTTTAATGCAAAAATAAAAAGTCGAAGAAAATTTTTAGGGTTCTTTGGGACCCGTTCTACAAATGACTTTGCTATAAAATTAAAGAAGAAAATTGCTAAATACTGTTGTTATAAAGCTGCCCGACATAGTGTGTACGGAAGCTCCATGTATAATGGTTTGGTGCACCGAACTTGACCATATACATTTGTATACTATACTGCATTTGCCAGCTGAACCATGTACGAAATTTCTCGCTCAATTGGAGAAGGGAACGAAACACTATTTATAATGATACAAAAATCTTATTTATCCAATAGACGTTTTTTAAAACTGTGAGGCTGCTATCTCGTAATTGATAGGCACTCATTCCCGACCACTTTCTCTTAGTGTAAATTATTGAGTGATCGCTCGCTATTTGGCTGGAACGGGTGGGTAATTGTCTCGCAGTTAAGCGAACTTGCTCAATCGGTTACCACCAATAATCAGTCAAACTAGTCAAAAGTATGTAACAGACAGACAATATTTGCTAGTCATTTCGTCCTTATCTTGAAAATTTATTATTATTAATTAATGAATTTTAGAATAAACCCTAATGGAGAGGGCAGAGTCCAAATTCATGGATCAATTTCATTTCTGGATATCAATTAATTGATTCGTTCGCCATAAATGGCAACCGATTCAATGCCGTCGGAGAAAAAAAACTGTCCGATCCATTTCGCCACAAAATTGCCTTTTAAAAAACGCCTCTCTCTCGTTCTCTCTCTCTCTGTTTCGATCGCTCCTTCAATTTCAATTCAATCGCGCTCTGTCTCTGTAAATGGATGCGTTAGGATCATATCCGATCAATTTCAGTACCGGTAGGGTTCCGATCTCTACCAGCGGCGATGAATCGAAGAATCGCCCGATAAGGCGGAATCGGATGGTCCAAGCGGCGGCAGAGTGGCTGAAACGGCGATCCACGGTAGCGAAGATCGCTATTGCGTCGGCGGCGACGGTGTTGGCGTTGGTGGCTTTGAAGGTGACTGTTAAGGATCATAATTACTTCTTCATCGCCGGTGCAGTCATTCACGCTGCCGGTCTTCTCATCCTCGCTTACAAGCTCACCACTCATAAAACCTGCTCCGGCGAGTTCCTCTCTCTCTCTCTCATCTTTTTAATTTTTATTTTTATTTTTCTGATTTTGGGATTTCTGTTTGAAAATGCTGCCAAGAATTAGGATTCATTATATATATATATATATATATATATATATTTATTTATTTATTTTTATAAACATAAAATTAAATTATAGATTTAAAATATTTTTATCAATTTTTTATTTACAAAAGATTTTTCCATTAATTTAAATAAGTTTTATCCTTTTTTTTTTTGTATCGTTATTTCTTACAAGGGTATTTTGGTAATAAAATCAGGTTTATCGTCAAAAAGTCAAGAACTCACGGCGTTGTTCCTCATTGTAAAATTGGTGAGCGGAACAATCCTGAGGATTGACTTTTACTCAATTTTGGAGTTCATTACTCTCGTCTCCACGGTTTGGGTTATTTACATGATTCGTTTCAAGTTGAAAAATACTTACGTCAAATCCTTCGACAACTTCCATTTGTATTACGTGGTAATTTTTACTGTCACTTATCACTTTACCCTTTTAGATTTATTCGTGATTTAATATGACGTTAGATTTAGAGGTCACGACTTTAACCCATTAGTTACGTTTTTTTACAGGTGGTGCCGTGTATGGTTCTTTCTATATTTATCTTTCCCCATGCACCATATAATCGCTTCATTAGAGTGTTGTGGGCATTCGGTGTTTACTTAGAATCTCTTTCAGTGTTGCCTCAACTTCGACTTATGCAAAATGCTAAGGTTATTTCATTTCCTCTTTTTTCTTAATTCTTTCCATTTTCTATTGACTCATCGAAACTTTAACTTTTCGGTTCATTTCGATCGTATATTTCTTATATTTTGGCAGACGATCGAACCTTTCACTGCCCATTACGTGTTTGCTTTGGGAATTTCTAGATTCTTAGCTTTTGCTTATTGGGTTATTCAGGTTTGTTCGTCTCATAACCGAAAAGTGTTGTTTATCAATTTCTATTTTTGAATGCTAAGTATTTATGGATTTTGTAAGACTATGGTCTTTTTACGAACTTGGTGTTTAAATTACTTTCGTTTTAGGTTTACGATTCTCGTGGGCAATATTTTCTATTGGTTGGCAGTGGTTACTTTTGGTTCATGGCAGCGTTCATGGCTGAAATGATTCAATCCTTCATCTTGGCTGACTTTTGTTATTACTACATAAAAAGGTAAACTCACAGGCTTATTTCTTAAAATATTAGGTTAAATTACAAGTTTAGTCCTTAAACTTTTATTTTTTATTATTTTGTCCCTCAACTTTAAAAAAAATTAAAAAATGTCAAATGACCCGCCAAATCATAACAGATATTATTAAAAAATTCATGAATTTTAGGGGTGTACATTCAACCCGATAATCCTGACCAACCCAACCTGAACTATAATGGTTGGGTTGGGTTGGGTTGGATTAGATTTTCGAATTGGTTTGGGTTCATTTTTCTAAACCCAAACTAACTCAGGTTTGATTTCGAGTTCATGGGACAAAATTCTCGAGTTGACCCAAGCCAAATACAAATATATAAAATATATTAAGAATTTACATTAATAGTTTTACTCGGAGTGTACTTTGTTCTATCTTAAAACAATTTTAATTTCTTTTATATTATTTTATTATTTTTTAATTTCTATATTTTCTTTTATATACACATTATTTATAATATGAATAAAAGTTGTTCTAACGTGCTAGCAAACAATCTCTTCCATTTAAAAATATAATTTATTAAAGGTTTATTAATTATAATTTATACATATATTTACAAATTATATGTATAAATTATACCGATGTTTGAATAATTTTTACTTTCCATCTATCATAGTTCTTACTGGTGTTGGTGAAAAGTAAATAAATTTAAATATCGAGTTTTATGAAAAGTTGTTTGACCATTTTAGTGTTTACTATAGCTTCTCAATCAACTTGTAGGAGAATCTCTCAACCCAACCCAACCCAACCCAACCCAACCTAACGCAATCCAACCCAACACAACGCAATCCAATTCCTGTAAGGAAACTTTTGGGTTGGGTCAAAAAGATTCCTCTTAACCCGTTTAAGATCATGTACGCCCCTAATAAATTTTATTATATTATGGCCATTTGGATTTATGTTTTTTAATTCTATTTTATGATTTTAAATTGCAGCATGGTGAAAGGACAATTGAGGATGCCTGTTTAAAGTCTTAATTTTTAAGGTATATTTTAAAGAATGAACATTATAATTTAATTGTATCATTTTTCCTTCATTATTATATACTTTGCATTATATTCGCATTTTAATTAATCATTTATGAAGTTTTAGGATTTAAACCGATAAAATTATTAAATAATGCTCAAAATTTAAAGATATAAATTATTTTTTTTGTCCAATAAATTTTTACCTCAAAATTTAATTAATAATGAAGGGTAAGAAATGTGCGATAATTTAAATTTGGGTCAAAATTGATTTATTTCCGAACAAAAAGAAAAATAGTTAAAAAAAAAAAAAAAAAAAGTCGATTGTACGGTGGCTGATGCATAACATTGACGTGGCCTCTGGATCACCGTCAATTTGGTATCCCTTCTCCACGTGTATAATGAAGCCACGTGGCACCTCAAGTAAAATAAAATAAAAATAAAAATAAAAAAACAAAGATTATTCCACGCGCCATATGAAATATATCGGGGCCCACAGAATAATTCGTCACGTACTTTTCGTGAGGCCGCGTCCGAAAATCTGCCACGTCTCCGACACTGTCACAGCCTGACGTCGCTGTGTCAATATCACTAGGCCTTTTCATAAAAGTTGGCGCACCTCTTAGCTGTAAAATCTCCACGTGTCATTCTGCAGCCGTTACAGCAGGGCCCACTTTGAAAACAAGAAATGTACACGTGGCATATTCTGGTTGGTGGAGCTGATCTCGCGTTTTGAGATTTTAACGTGGAAAAAGACCGTAGATTATTTGTGGGACCGGAAAATCAACCACCACGTGTCCTTCTTACCCAGCCTCGGTTTCCACGTGTCGTGACCTCAATGTTCAACGTGTTAAATGTGGACCCCACAATAAAATAATATAAATATAAATATTTCAAAGATTAATAGTTTTGCCAATAAATACGCGACACGTGGAATAAAGTCAAAGGAGATTGACCAGAGAATGAGATATAATAGATTAATGGCGGAGGCAAAGGCTTCGGTTGCGCTAAAAATATCTCTGTGATTCCATTCTCTCCTACGTGTTCCTTCCAATCCCACCGCCTCCTTCATCTCCTCCGCTGCCGCCACGTCGCCGCTGCTCCGCCTCCCGAGAATCCCTCCGTCCATATAATCCAAATCCACAAATCTTCATTCTCACACTCGTTCTACACTTGATTTCATTTTTGTCCGGGAGATGAAATTGGCGGTGATACGTGAAGAAGACGGCGATCTAGACCTCGATTTAGGGCTTTCAATCGGCGGAGGTTTCAGAAATTTACCGGAGAAGTTAACCCTAATCAACAATGGCTCTGATGAGGAGAGCGGAGTTACCGATGAGAAGATTAGAAGCGCGATTAGGCGAGGAGAGGCCAAGAGGAAGCGAGAAGAAGAACGGAATCGGCCATTGAAGAGGGAGAAGAAGCTTGAAGGTTTAGGATCTGAATGTGATTTGATGAACAATGTGGATCTTCAAAATCCGTATCCCTACTCGTCGTTGCAGTACGTTCCGTTTATCAATGGCTATGGCTATGCGTTTCCCTGCCTGACGCCATACTGGGCTGCCGGTGAGAGAATCCTCCATCAGCCGGCGGTGGCTTGCCGGAGTGTTTCCGATGTTGGTGGAAGCAAGAACAGGAAAACTGGGTCTTCTGGATCCTCCCCTGTTTGCAGTTCCTCTGTTATTTCTGATAATTATCACAGTTCTTCCTCTCATGAAGGTAATTTTTCTATTAAGCTTCAAACAATCAAACATAGTTTAGAAATTCGCATTTGGAAAAACTCTAAATAAAGCCACAAGAGTTTATAATTAGAGTGGACAATATATCATTATGGAGAGTCATGATTCCTAACATGGTATCGGTAGTAATGCCCTTAACTTAACCATGTCAATAGAATCTTCCAACTTCAAACAAAGAAGTTGTGAGCCCTCGAAAGTATAGTTAAAAGTGACTCTCAAGTGTTGAATAGGAGTCGAGCCTCAATTAAGGAAAGGTTATTCCAGGTCTCCATAGGCCTCTGGAGAGGCTCTATAGTGTATTTAGTTCGGAGAGAATTGTTGGGAGGGCATGATCATAGGTTTATAAGTAAGGAATATATATATATAGGTACTGGAATTTTGGGGAAGCCCAAAGCAAAGGCACGGCTTAAAATGGACAATATCATAGTATTGTGGAAGCTCGTGAATTCTAACCACATAGATTTGGTATAGCGTGTCGAATCTAAACCATTTGATTTCCATTTTGCTTTGTAAGCCGATCATTCTAGTTCATGTTCTTATTAATTAGTTGTGATCTTGTTCATGTTCTTCCAGGAGTTAGTAGCAGAAGCAATTCATGTAATTCCTCATCTAAGAATCATGTTAAATCAAAGCCTTGCAGTGAGAAATTGGTCGAATCCCATGTTTCCAAACCCAGAATCAAGAACTCTTCAATGGTGAATGGAAAGCCTCCAAAGCCTGAAATCCAGAGCCGCCATGTCCAAAGTTTTGAGCAAATGCCCTGCGTTTCAACCACAGGGATTGCTCCCAATGGCACCAAAACCATAACCACTGGCTTCTTGTATAGATACTCAAACTTGGAGGTCAGTATTTTGTGTGGCTGCCATGGGGAATCCTTTTCGCCGGCCGAGTTCGTTAAGCACGGCGGCGGCGGTCAGGTTTCCCATCCTTTGAAACACATTACTGTTCTTCCAACTAATGGAATCGTACCATCTTCAATTAGATGAATCCATGTATCTGATTTAGATCATTACCGCTTAACATCTTTTTTTGATATTGAAACTTCGAGACCGCCACTATGTTGGTGATTTTGGTCGGTCCTACTGTGACTTCATTGAATAATTTAACGTTGGCAAGATAAGATCTGCAACCAAAATCTTTTAACTTTCAAAATAATTTTAAAAATGAATGAAAATGGAAAATAAATACTATATATTTTTTTTATTAATAATTTCAATGGATCCGTATTCTCTCTCTCTTGATTTTTTGATTCTGCAATAGTCCAAACACATCACTAGTAAATATTATATTGTCTTCTATTATATATCGTCGATAGGTAACGAACCACTGGAAATTTTATAGGAGTATGGTAAAGAAAAAACGAATATAACTTTTAAAAATCAAATATCGGTAAGTTTTTTAATCCTAGCCGCTCATCAAAATACTTCTTATGGTTTATGTACCAATAAAAATTTTGACTCTAAATTTGAGTACTTCATTTGTAGATATACCAAAAACAGAGATTAAGCCAAAAAGAAAGAAAACAAAACAAGAATCATAAAGGTAAAAAAAAGAAACAAAAAATGGGTTAGATTAGATTTTAGATAGATATCCAATTAGCAACAAGAACAAAAATTATATACCTTCACTATTTGAACAGTTGAATCAAAACGAAAACCAAACCAACAAAAGAAAAAAAAAATGGAGAATTACAATGATTATGATGAAGAACATGAAGAACCAAAAAGAAAAAACCCAAAACAATTCATCAATGGATCAATCTCTTTCTACTTCCTTTTCTGCTCAACCATCCAAATCCCTTCAAAGCTTTGGTCATTTTCATAAGATTTGGTCTCCTCATTCCCAAATTCATCTTCCCCGCCGAGAATTTCAGTGCCTGTAAGCAGCAAAGTTGCCCTTCTTCTTCCTCTTCTTCTTCTTCTTCTTCTTCTTCTTCTTTCTTGGATTTTCTATCGTCTTTCTCCTTCTTCTCGTATGTTTCCCACAGTGAATCCATCCCTTCTGTTTCCTCTGAACTGTGCCGCTCTTCGAAGAGCTTACAGGCGAGTGTTCTTCGCCATTCTTTCTCCTTCCTCATCGATCCATAGCTTCCTAATGATGAATTTTCTCTATTGAAACTCCCTGGTGAACTCCATGGAGGACTCGATTCAGATCTTGAAGAACTCGATGATTCTTCTGTGATTTTTCTCAAATCTTTCATGATTTCATGCTTTTCATCTCTGTTTTCGAATTTGGCTTCTTGTAATTCCTCTGTTTTTGCTTCAACTTCTGCTATCAGGGAATTTTCCGGGAGAGGTTTGATTTTCTCGGGAAAATGCGCCATGGGTTCTTGAAAATCGACTTCCACTTCCACTTCTTGGAGACTGTGTTCATATGGGTTTTGTTCAGAGCCAAAAGTGTAAGCCTCAAACACGATTTTGTAAGCTTCAAGCTCTTCCATGGGGGATTCGTCTGGTGTTCTTGGGCGTAAACTGTCAAAAACAACATGGTAAGTAGTAGCAAGAAATCCCATTTTGGAAGAATCTGCAAAATGATGAAAATGGTGATGAAGATGATGATCAAACAGAGAGAATAATGCAAAGAGGAGGAGAAAAGTGGTGATGAAGAGAGGAGAGAGAAAGGAAAGAAGCTTGAGAAAGTAAGGGAAGAAGAAGATGAAGAAAGACAAGTGAAGAGGGTGAGAGAGGAGAAAGAAGAAGAAATGGAAGAAGTGAGAAACACAGGACAATCCAAATGCTTTCTTGGAGATGGAAATTTCAGACATTGTTTATGATTTCTTTCCTTTTTTTCTCTCTGTTTTCGAAGCTCTGTAAGAATGGCGATGGTGGAGTTTGTTGGGGGAAAGTTCAGTGGGAGAGTAGATTTTGGTAATGAAATGGAGAGGAGAGAGAGGAACTGTGAGAATTGGGAGAGAAAGCGGCGTGAATAAAGGAAAGAGACTGAAACAGAGAGAGAGAGAGAGAGAGAGAGAGAAAAAAGAGGAGGCAAAGAACAAGGGAAAGAAAATGGCAGGTCTTTACAATCTAACTATCAAATTATTATGATTCTCTCCATGATCTTTTTCTTTCACTCTAATTTTTTAATTTCTTAAGACCATGAATCTTTTAGAACTACTCTTACATGGTTATCGAAAACAAAGTTTAGTGGTTACCATACCAATTCAGAGAGTGAAACCAAAGAAAAGCTTGACACGACCTTATTATTAGGTTATCCTATTTCAGTCTACGATCAGGTTATTAAGATATGTGCTAAAATAGTCGTGGGTCTACCTTTTTTAAGAATTAGATGATTGTTAGTGAAATAACGTATAGGTTTGGGTGGGATGATACGAAATAGAGTAGTTGCCATTTGACATGCAAAACCGAGAAGGAACTCCCTTATGCACTCAAATTCCTATGTGAAAAAATTAAAATGATTTAGTCTGATCAGCTAAATCATAGCTTATGATGTGATTAAGAACCATGAGTAAGATTCTAATACTACTGACTTAATCATAATTCAATTGGTTAATAACCATGAAAAAAAAAAAAACCTAAAAAAAATACACACTAAAAAGAATGAACTCACTTCCTACAAATTGATAATAAATAAAATAAGAAAAAAAATTGTTGAAATCAACCAACTTAGATTACTACACTTTTTGAAATAAAAGACTAAAATTGTGGCATGATTGAAAAACTGACAGGTTTCAATTCAGAAGAATTCATATGATTACAGTGGCTATGATCATTGAGATGGCAAACCCATAAATTAGGAACATTATAATACCATTATTTGTTCAACTTTAAGGCAAAAGGTTAAATTAAAGCAGTCCATTAGCAGTAATTTTAGCCTTTTTGTTTGTTGAAATAGCTTTCTAGCTTTCTAGCACTTACCATAACTACCAACCCTACATTCATATTGATTTACAACTTCAAACAGCCTAAAATGACCATATCATTTATTTACCATGGATGAAATCATAGTAATTTCATTACAAAATCACCGAAAAAATAAATAGATAAAAACCACAATTCTTCCCAATGTATAATATTACTTTAAGCATAAAAAATATTATGGCTTTACTTTTGATTTTTTCTAAAAGGCCTCATTTCAATGGATATAGTATTCCTTACTCATGAACCATGACCTTCCCTTTAGTTAGTCAATGCGTAATTCCTCTCCCAACAATCCTCAACCAAAATTGTAGGTTTCATAAGTTTCTAACTTTATCAATTCCTATCAAACTCGACTAGGCCAAATTTGATAAACTTCATAGAACTCATATACTTCTAAAAGTTTAGACTTGGAGCTGTTATCAAATGGATTGACATCGAGGTTGTATCTTCTAAAACTACCAAACATTATAAAGGAAGAGAAATGGGGAAAAAAAGAAGGAAAAAAAGGCTTGCGAAAAAATAACAGAAGAAACGGAAGGAAAGGTCAGAATTGTGAATGCAAAAATGAGGCACGTTTGTGGACACCAGACCTAGAAAGAGATTGCATCTCCACATAAAATAATCTTATATAGAAGGTGGCAGAAACGAGTAAAAAAAAAAAAAAAAAACCTATAGTTATGGGATATATGTGATTAAGTTATAAATTTCTAAATTTCTAATTTATGTCTAATGGATGTAAAAAATTTAAAACTATCTAGCAAGTCCTTAAACTTACAATTTTATATCTAACAAATTCTTAATCTAATCATTATTTAGATTTACTAAATACAAAATTAAATCTTTATAACTCTATTAAATATAAATTTCAAATTTATATCCAGCGTTAATAAACACGATTAACATTCAAAGACTTGCTAAACATTTTAAAAATTTAGAGATGAGCCATTTAAATAAAAGAACACCCTCCCCCTCTGAAAAGTCTTTTAAGTCATAACCTAATGCTAAATCTCAGAAATTTCTTGTTATTGGATTGGATAACTCACGGCCTAAAGCAAACCCTCATGGAAGTGGGATGGTTGTAGTGTGGGAATAGGACTTTTGAAGGCTATAAAAGGAATGACATCATGACAATCCAACTACTGATTATGGCTACTTGCGTGCATGCCTTTGCAACAGACGCTGCAAATTAGACACGTCTTTACGGTCCATGGCAATTCTTCATAAATGGGAAAGGAGGTAAAGATTCTAAAAACTGAAGATGGTTCTTTTTCGTTTACCCCTAATGAATGCCTTACCATCGCCTTTATTTACATGCAGACATACGTATTTAATTCAATAACAAGAATACAAACAAGAAAAGAAAAATTCTAAAGTCACGAGGGAGGTTTATTTGTAGATAAATATTGTTACTTACAATGCTTGTGTCCTGCCATTGCCAAGACGGCAATAATGGTGTTTCGGATGCTTTACGGGGATGGGCCCACCAAGGTTGACAATGTTAAGATATGTTCCCGTCGCCCAAGAAGGAAGATTTCTTCTCCATTTGTGTTTGTCCAATGCAAATGTTTTATAATTATATTTCTGTTTGCCCTGCGTTCAATTAAAAGTCAAAAAGGAATAGAAAGGATGAATCCACCCAATTATCATCTTTTCTCCAATCATCCACCGACCCCAATGAAGAAATATTAAAGATATCAAACCTTCGTTTCATCATAACATCAACCGTACTACTAGCAAAGCATTTATCAGTGACAAAAACACTCATAAATTGACATAAAAGGCTTGGCCAACAAATAAAATCACAAAAAGAAAGATGTGCTTGGATTATAAAATAATGAATTGACATAAACTTGCTCATTGCAAGCCCAAAGCCTCCATATGGCAGAGCGTTAATAAAGTCATACAAGGAATATGAAAACTGGTTCTATTGAAACAATTCAAACTTGACTAAAATATGATCAACAACCTACATATTCACGTTGTTATTACTCTGTCATGACAGGCTTGTTCTCATTTGCCTTGAATCTTTGCTCTTTGGGCTTCTGCTCCTCAATTTTTCTGAAGTAAACATCACAAACAACTGATAAGGCTACAAATTCTCATTTATAACACGACAATGTAACTACTCCAAATCGAGAAAATACATTTCGAAATTCAAAATATATTCTTCTTGTATTATGTAAAAATCGAACTTTCATTGAGACAAAATGAAAGAATACACAGTCCTACAACAAGGAGAGGCCTAAAAAGGGGAGCCCACAAGGGACACCAATTAAGTAAAATGTTGTTCAGTGAGTAATTATAAAAATATTAACAAACAGAACAGAGAAGAAAATTGAGTAACGAATACAGAATATATTATGTTATTATTACTTTTAATTACGCATTGGGGAAAGTAAAGCCAGACTCTTGCGTAATTCAAACAGTAGAGATAAGCATTCAACACAAGAATAAAATTATTTCCCCTTTTAAATGCTGCCTTAATCATTTGCAACAACAATTATGGATATTATGGAAGTTGAATAATGAGAGAGGAAAACAAAAGGAACGAAGGGTACAATATTTAACCTTTAGGTTTCGTCTATTAAAATATTCACTACAGTTGAATCATAATCTTTAAACCATGGAATTAATATCGCATAGAATAAACGGTAAGCCAGGCCAGATCCAAAACATCTGAAGTAAAGATAGTTAAGTCGGTCATGCGCTTTTTTCTTTTTTCTAAAATAAAACAAAGGATTAATATATGCACTTTTTTTGCTCTCTTTTTTTTTTTTTAATATGAAACAGATTGGTAGGATGAAACGAAAAGGGAGGAAACCTAAGCTCCAGGCTAAAGAAATTGCCAAAAAAAGGCCAAAAGATCGTTGAGATTAAAATTGGTGAAGGCAGTGTAGTAACATTTACACCAAGATAAAAGCAGACACTAAAATTAATTCAAGAAAAATATTGCTAAATGCTAAAGGCGGTGTTGTTAAATGTCTGTTGTTCCATGCAACAGAAGATTCCAAAAGGAAGTTTAATTTACACTTGAAAATCTTAAAGAACATATAGTTTAAAAAGAAATTGCAAAACCTATTGTCGCCTAACTATGTACCGAGTTAAAAACAGGCAAATCCAAAAGTCTCAAGGAATCTAGAACGGAAGTAAATAAACTATGCTAAAAAGCTTTCCGTAAAAGTTTGGCATAGTTCGCCGGTCAAAACTCTATTGGATCATTCATAGCAATTAAATCTGCATGACGCTTCAAAATAGAATGTTTTTTTTTTTAAAATAATGCTTCATGCTTTTATTCATTAGCAAGCAACAAGTACGCTTGAAGTACAGAAATCTTTGAAGATTCGAGAGCAAACATCGATAATAAAAGCAAGACGAAGAACGAATAGAGAACTAAACGGCAAAATAAAAGCTACCAATTCTATGAGCATTCAAACGCTGTTAGTTTCGTTCGCAAGATCAATTTCAAACAAATTTCGATATCCATTCAGCAACCTAAACTTCTAGAGCCTCTAGCTCAATTTACTAACATCTAAAGAAAGCCAAAAGGCAGCACAATCAAACAAGCCAATAGCAGACTAATAAGACAACTTACAGAGCCAAATCAAAAGCAAAATAAAGTAAACGAAAATCAAAACAACCTAGAATCCAAAATCAAACAAATAGACAGTTACAGAAAAGAGAGAAAATCAAGTTAACGAACCACCTTATAACAACAACAAAAAAAAAAAAAAATCTCCACAAATACGTTTCTAATTGTAAACATGGTGAAAAGAAGAGCATCGCATACCTTTTGTCGTAGGCTCCTCCTCCCTTCTGGCTGAGGAAAGAGCGGAACAGATGAGAGTTGACGTCGTAGATCATCGTGAAGCAATTGGGAGAAACAACAACAATATTCCAAGCAAAAACCCTAGTCTGTCGCCGACCTCCAAATCTGCAACCTTCGTTTGTATAAATATCGGTATCTATAGAAATAGGCGGTAAACGAGTGTTTAAATACTTCATAAATTTCAAAAATTTAATTTTTTTTATTTAATAAAATCATAAATTAATTTGAATAAAAAAAAAATTAAATAGACAATTTTAAAATTAATTTTTGAATGGTACAAATATGGTCCCTATTTTTAGTTTATTTATTAATTACAATAATAAATACTAATTTTAATATTTATTAAAAACATACTCGACTAAATTTAGATATTTTAAAATATATACTTTAATAATAACATTGAGCACTAAAATAAATGATATTTCATTATTTTAAAATTTCAAAACTAAATAAATAAAAGATTTAATTCTCATTTGATCGTAACCCTAAAATTTATTCTATTTCAATCATTTAAAATATTTATTTTGGTACAACAGTCTTTAAAAATAAAATAAATAGTTGAATGTTTTATTATTCATTTTAATGGAAAATATGGTTTGTAAGAACAATTTTAAAAAAAAAATTAAAGAAGAAAATGAGTTTTTTTTAGTGGAGGGCATAATTGGAAGATAAAATGTTGGAAAATTTCCAGCATTCATATGCACAATGGTTGAAAAATCTTTCAAAAAAGTGTAATCTCTCTCTCGCTCTATATATATATATCCATTGTAAAGTTCAACGGCCATTGTAAATGCTCACCACCTTCCCTTCTCTTCATAATCTCAATCCCCTCTTTAAAATTTTTCAATCGTTCTTCTCCACCGCCTCCGCTCAGGTATGAACGCCGCCCTCTCTCTGTTTTATCGCATTTTGCTCGCTCTCCGGTCATCGGCATTCGCCTTTGACGGGCGGAATCGAATGCCGATGAGTTGTTTCTTGTTGTTTTTAGTATTGGATTTGTTTAGATGGATGAGTTTGAGAATTCCACCGCCGAATTTGATGAGGTTTTTTTTTTTTTTTTTACATTAATTTTTGAGTTCAATGTTTGGGAGAGGAGTTTTTGATATGAATGGAAGAAGAAGAAGAAGAAGGTTTTGGTCATTAAAGTTGACTTGGGTTACTTCAATTTGGATGAACGGCTTAGATTTGATTAGACTGGAAAGTTTGTAAATGGAACCACCCAAATTTGTGTTTATGTTTGTTTTTTTGCTCAATTTAAGCTGCTATTGCCTGCAAATGTTAGCTATATGTTGCTCTTTATTTGCTTTCTTGGTTGATGATAGTTTAAACTGGTACTTCCTTTAGGTTATTGATTTTGTCGGATCCACTTCGGTTGTGGAGAGGGGAACGAAGCATTCTTTATAAGGGTGTCGAAACCTCTCCCTAGTAGACGTGTATTAAAAATATTGAGGGGAAGTCTGGAAGGGAAAGCTCAAAGAGGACAATATTTGCTAGCGGTGGACTTGGGCCGTTATAAATGGTATCAGAGTTAGATATTGGGTGATGTGCCTGTGAGGAGGTTGAGCCTCAAAGGGGGTTGACACGAGGCGTTGTGCTAGCAAGGAAGCTGGACCCCAAAAGGGGTGGATTGGGGGGTCCCATATTGATCGGAGAAGGGAACGAGTGCTAGCGAGGACGCTGGGCCCGAGGGGGGGATTGTGAGATCTCACATCGGTTGGAGAGGAGAACAAAACAACCTTTATAAGGGTGTGGAAACCTCTTCCTAGTAGACGTGTTTAAAAAACCTTGAGGAGAAGCCCAAAAAGGAAAAACCCAAAGAGGACAATATCTGCTAGTGGTGGACTTGGGTTGTTACCAATGGTATCAGAGTCAGACACGGGGTGATGTGCTAGCAAGGAGGCTGAGCCCCGAAGGGGAGTGGACACGAGGCGATGTGCTAGCAAGGACGCTAGACTCCGAAAGGGGGTGGATTGGGGGGTCTCACATCGATTAGAGGAGAGAACGAGTGCCAGCGAGGACATTGGGTCTCAAAGGGGGTAGATTGTGAGATCCCAATTGGTTGGGGAGGAGAACAACGCACCCTTTATAAGGGTGTGGAGACCTTTCCTTAGTAAATGTGTTTTAAAAACCGAAAGGGAAAGCCCAAAGAGGATAGTATCTGCTAGCGGTGGACTTGAGGTGTTAGAAATTCACAAATAATGCTTGAATTTTGTATTCGTACCCTATGTTGCACATCTGAACTCCATTCAGATTGCTTCAGTTAAGACGAAATGATGTTAAACACTACTATTATTTAGGATCGGGAATGTATTTAAACACATTTTTTAAGTACTTAAAAAGTCATTTCAAATAGACGGGTCATTCTTAGAAACTCACATTCTATATCATCTTTACGATCGAACCAGTTTTGTTCTTTGAGCCTTATCGATCAGTTTATTGTTTGTCATTATGTAGTTACATGTTGGCCTGTGTTTTGGTCCTGATTGAGATTGTTCTGCTTGTTTGCTCTAGATGTGAGGTGATCCAGGAAAAACAACCAAACAATACCACTTGATAACAAGATTGAAGCCAATTATGGTGAGCCTAAGAAGGCGAAAACTCCTGGGACTTTGCACTGGTAAAATTTACTTTTTAAAGCTATTGTATTGAGAAAAGGACAGAGCTCTTGTGTTGGATCATATCAGAAGGTATAAGCATGTAATTTTTCTCTTTTGATTCGTGACTTTGAATGAAACGAACTCGGTACTTGTAGGCAAAGGCTCATTTGTTGCTCCGGTTTCAAAATTTTCTGAGGATTTGACTACTGAAGATCACGTGTACGGTACGGATTTCATTAGTGTTCATCCCGTCTGCTCAGACAAAGTGAACAAGATAAAAGAGGTCAGTAAATATTTCCAATTTCTTTATCACTACATAATCACATCATGTTGTTTATAGAAGAACTGGCTACCTCGACTGTTCCTCTTAGCACATAGCTAGTACTTATTGCGTGGATCTGTCTCTGTGAGATCCCATATTAGTTGGAGAGGAGAACGAAACATTACTTATAAAGGTATGAAAATCTCTCCTTAGTAGACACGTTTTAAAAAACTTGAGGGGAAGCCCGAAAAAGAAAGCCCAAAAAGAACAATATCTGCTAGCGGTGGACTTGGACTGTTACAAATGGGATTAGAGCCAAACATCGGGCGATGTGCCAGCGAGAAGGCTGAGTCCCGAGGGGGGTGGACACGAGGCGGTGTGTCAACAAGGACGTTGGATCTCGAAAGGGGGTGGATTGGGGGGTCCAAAATCGATTGGAGAAGGGAATTAGTGCCAGGAAGGATGCTGGGCCCTAAAGGGGGTGGATTGTGAGATCTCACATCGGTTGGGGAGGAGAACAAAACACCCTTTATAAGCGTGTGAAAACCTCTCCTTAGTAGACGCGTTTTAAAACCGTGAGGCTGACGACGATACGTAACAGAAAAAAGTGGACAATATCCACTAGCGATGGGCTTGAGCTGTTACCGTCTCTCACTTCAAAACCTTATTTCTTTCTTTTTGTTTCATAGTTTAATTTGCTGTCAGTTTTTGTACTTCACAATTCTTATTTGAGGCAAAATTATCTGTAAAATTGCTCTCGTTTTTTTTTCTTTTTCCTTTTGTTAAGGATATTTATATTTCCATTTACTACTATTTCCATATCCTTGTAATTTATTTGATTATAAATAAGATGACTTTCACACCATTTAGGTGTGGTGGATTAATCAAACATTCACACCTTTTAATAACAATTACCATATTGAGCTAGATCAATGCACAAGGTTGCATGAGATTCCGACGATATTATTAAGTCATCCATTATAGCCGCCAGTGAAAGCCCGTCCAGTAGACTTCCCGTTTGGCTTCTCCCCTTCGTTATCTCTTTTAGCGTGATACTATTATTTAGGTTCGTAAAGTTTGAATGGATGTCGGAGCGTAGTATGGTACGGTTACCCAAACTTTTCTGGTTTACCCGAGCGTTCCACACATGCAACAGCTTATGGGAATGCTATACACGTGTTCCATCAATAAAAGAAGACTGTTCTTTTTCTTTCCCTTTTTTTCCTGCCAATGCAAGAATGGCTTGTTTTTTAGTACACAAAATGGACATTTATGCTGGATACTTATCTCAATAATATGATGTTTTTTCAGAATCCAGTTGCACGTATAGAGCCTGAACCGTCAGGGGTATCTGTTTTGGATACATCAAAAGAGAAAAATGACGAGCCAGTTGCAGGTTTGTACGGTCATCCCTTCATATTTACGAGTTACATGAATGTATGTGATATTAGAATAGTATACGATATAAATCTATCTTTTGATGTGACATTATTTGTTCGTTTATACTATTGATTCATCTTGGAGACGGGTAGGTCACATTTTCATTATGCTATCCAATGAATTCTCAAAAGTAACGAGTTTGGCCAACACGAGCATAACTCAATAGTTAATGCATCTATCTGTCTCTGTCTACTCATTCTCCATCTGCACTAATGAAGAAAGTCTGTATTATGACTTGAGCTGCATGCGACTGTATTTACAGACCCGCCCGTCAAGCGCCGAAAGAGACACAGGAGAAAGCAGTTTTTGGACGAACCGTTCTTAATGAGAGGTGTTTATTTCAAGAACATGAAATGGCAAGCCGCTATAAAGGTTGACAAGAAACAGATACATTTGGGAACTGTCGGATCACAAGAAGAAGCTGCTCATTTGTATGACAGGTAATGTCTTTTAAGTGACATAAAGTGTGTGAAGGAACCTCCCCAATGAGCTGATCATTAGTCTTTTGTTCATAGAGCTGCTTTCATGTGTGGAAGGGAACCCAACTTTGATCTCCCTGAGGCGGAGAAGCAAGAATTGAGACGGTTTAATTGGGACGAGTTTTTAGCCATGACCCGTCGTGCGATTACGAATAGAAGTAAGTCTTCCTTCTTTACGAGTTCGCAAATGCTTCCAGTTCCTAGTATTGACTATATGAGTTATTTATCGTCATGTTCTTCAGAACAGAAGAGGCTCAGCCCAGAATCAAAGAAGTCCGAACAACTTTAACAGAAAACACTACAAGTTCATTGAAGTTCAAGATCGGACCTATAGTTTTGAATTTTTTGTTCAAATGCTCGTGGGGTTAGGCAAAGCAACCTCCTACAAGTTTTGGATGTACATAATTTTAGTGGTTTTAGGCAAATTCATGAGACTCTGAGCTGATGAAAGAACGATGTACGGTGATAACCTATTCGAGTGGGTCCTTTTTGAATCTACTTGATGATACTTCAAGTCTCGAGATGCCACCTATGACAAGTTCGAGTTACTTTAAAGCTCAGAATCCATGGCTTCAGCTATCGCTTGCTGCAGTGATGATCTCACACAATCATGGAACCTGGTTCTCATGAAGGAAGAAGGTGCCATTGTTAGCCATCTTATGTTCATAGTTTATTGCCTTTGTTACTGGTATCCCACAATAATTTAACATTTTATTTTGGGAAATAAAAGTTGGCAAACTAAATGCCGAGAAATTCTTTTATCTCATTGTAATGATGGAATTGATAAAATAGTCCAAAATTTTGATTATTATGAGTGTGCCAATGAAGAGTGATATTACAAGAGTTAAGACATGATGTAATAGTTCAAATCCACGAGTTTTTCCTTTAGAGCTTCGGTTTCGACACCCTTGTAAGTAATGTTTCATTCCCTTCTCCAATGTAGAACTCACAATCCACCCCCCTTGAGATTCCAGCGTCCTCGTTGGCAGGTTGCCCAATGTCTAGCTCTGATACCATTTGTAATAGTCCAAATTCATTATTCGCTAATATTATCTATGAGTTCTCCGTTTCGAGCTTCCCCTCATGGTTTTAAAACGCGTCAACTACGGAGAGGTTTCCACCACACCTTTATAAAGAATGGTTCGTTTCACTCTCCAACCGATGTAGATCTCACGATAAGTCAGAAACTTATAATTCAAATGAAAAGCTATTTTAGATTGATAGTAAGAATTATAATTTACATATATTGAGTTTATGAAATCACTACAAACTGGACACAAATCAGGAAATCGAATCAACTGCTTGTAATCTGACATACGAGTTTGTGACAAAACGCTCAGATCCGAGGAAAAACCTTATTCTAGTTTCCGACTCTATGAAAGCAGCGAGACGAGAGAGACAAACTCGAGCGTTACTCGGCCCTTGGATCTCGTGTTAATCACAAAGTGTTCTGGGTACTTTCTCAACAACATAAGCAAGCCATACCACGGTTTATCCTTGGCTTCTGGACCATGCCAATCCTCTGATGTGAGGTACTTCCTTACACGACTATGGTGCCAAACATTGCCATATTGCTCAACCAGCTGTGAAGAACAAATCAGAAGAAGATTGAGAAAGACAAAGTAATGATTTGACATAGAAATTATAATAAAGCCAAGTGAAATTGTTAGCCGTGAAAGGGAAATCATATTTTGATGCCAGCGAGAAAAGATCATTTGTGTGTCGATGTAACAGTCCAAGCCCACAGTTAGTAAATATTGTCCTCTTTTGGCTTTCTCTTAAGATTTTAAAACGCATCAGCTAGGGAGAAGTTTCCACACCCTTATAAGAAATGTTTCGTTCCCCTCTCCAACCAATGTGAGATCTCACAATCCACCCCCCTTGAGGGCTTAGCATCCTCGCTGACACACTGTCCGGTGACTAGCTCTGATACCATTTGTAACCAGCCCAAGCCACCGCTAGCAAATATTGTTCTCTTTGGACTTTCCCTTCTAGACTTTCCCTTAAGGTTTTAAAACGCATTTGCTAGAAAGAGATTTCCACACTCTTATAAGGAATGCTTCGTTCTCACCTCCAACCAACTTGGGATCTCACAATGCCAGCGAGGACGCTAAGCCCCTAAGAGGAGTGGATTGTGAGATCCCACATTGGTTGAAGAGGGGAACGAAACATTCCTTATAACGGTGTGGAAACCTCTACCTAGCATATATGTTTTAAAACCTTGAAGAGAAGCCCAAAAGGGAAAGTCCAAAGAGGATAATATCTGCTCGCGGTGGCTTGTTACAGTTGATTTTCTCCACGTCCATGCATTTGCAAATGAAAGCAGACCAGTCTGTTAAATGGAAAGAGGAAAGTTTTGAATATCTACAGATATATCCTATCACCAGAGCTTCTATATGTAATTTGGTCCGACCTTCTCATATCTCTAGAAGGCTGGATTCTACGTTTCGGTATCGTGACGTATACAGCTCAAGGAGTAGATGATTACATTACTAGAAACTCTAATAAGTTAATATCGGAACTGTATAGGCTGACCACGAAGTCATGAGCGACAGCAAAGTCGAGCAATCCTAACAGCAATGGCAAACAGCCATCATTTCCTACACGTATGAGAATAAAACTGTTCATAGTTATATAAGGATCAAGAGGATCCTTCATAACCAAAACATACCTCAGGGTGGAGCTTCTCCATAGGCATCCATTCTCCGGGGCCACAAAGATCAGACAGCACGGTAGCTACAGAAGATACCACATCCTTTTCTTCCTGGAGAAGCTGATTATCAGCTTCTCGATCAACTCGTGACCTTCCATCGAGCTTCTTGTCCATGGGAACTGTGGATTACGGTACAAAAAAGAACTTAATAGGTATCGACGCTGTACAGATACCGATTTTAGACAGCATAGAGAAAGACTGTGTATCAAATGGTTATGCAATAAGAGTTCAAGGCAGGCACTCATTCAATTGTTGAGTTCATTTTAATACCAGCATATAGAAACAGATATCACTTTTTAGAAAATCATAATCATGAATGGGAAGGAGTTTACAACAAAAGCCAAACACGATCACAAAGTACTCCATATTAGTATAAATTCGAAAGACGTAGTATTTACAAAAACTATTAGCAAAGAAGAACCCCAAGACGAGTAAATATTAAGGATCTCAAATCGAACGACAAATTAACAAATTTCTCTATCGCTAAGAGATTCGACTTTTTCGCCCCTAAACATGAATTCTAAGGAGGGCCTTATCATATTGAACCAAAGCCATGCTAGGACAATAATTTGAGCAGCGACGAACATGGTTTGAAGTATGACAATCATATTGAAATAACTTTTAAGGACTTCAAAACCTAATTCCACAAGTAATGCAAGGATTTCCTTCTGTTCTTGTGTCTGTCTGTTTAATAATTAATCTTCAAATAGACTTGTTGCAAAACTTTCTTTCGTGTTTATGTGAGATCTCACATCGGTTGAGGAGGAGAACAAAACATCCTTTACAAGGGTGTGGAAACCTCCCCTTAGCAGACATGTTTCAAAAACCTTGAGGGAAGCCCGAAAGAGAAAGCCCAAAGAGGATAATATCTGCTAGCGGTGGGCTTGGACAGCTACAAATGGTCTGCAAGGAGGCTGAGTCTCGAAGGGGGATGGATTTGGGAGTCCCACATCGATTAGAGAATGGAACGAATGCTAGCGAGGACGCTGGACCTTGAAGGGGGTGGATTGTGAGATCCCACATTGGTTGGGGAAAGAGAACGAAACATTGGTGTGGAAACCTCTCCCTACAAGACACGTTTTAAAAACCTTGAGGGGAGAAAAGGAAAGCCCAAAGAGGACAATATCTACTAGTGATGGGCTTGAGCTGTTACAAATGGTATCAGAGTCTGACACCGGACAATGGGCTAGCGAGGAGGCTGAACCCCAAAGGGGGTGGACACGAGTCGGCGAGCCAGCAAGAACTTTGGGCCCCGAAGGAGATGGATTGAAGAGTCCCACATCGATTGGATAAGGGCATGAGTGCCAGTGCGGACGCTAGGTCCCGAAGGGGGGTGGATTGTGAGATCCCACATCGGTTGGGGAGGAGAACGAAGCATAGTCTAAGAATATAATCTGTCACTTACACGGCTTTTCATCGAGATTTTTTGGCAGTACACAATATAATCTGTCACTACAAGATAACTCTACCATGATCAAAGAATTTTCCACTTCCAGATTCAATAGTCTAAGAACGAAAATCAAAGTGAGACAGCCAAGAACATGAACATAGATTATCTCTAAACCTCTAAAAACAGTCAATCGAAAAATGCACAAGGAACACAATAATACTAACCCAATCCGCCAGAAAATCCTGCTTTGCCACCTGAACCACCGGATCCATATGCCTCTCGCCTAAACTTCTTGCCACTACTTCCACCAATGTCGTCGTCATCCTCATATCCCTCCTCATAATACTCTCGTCCTCTCCCTTTTTTCACCATCGCCCCTGCAGCAGCGGCTCCTCCAGAGCCAGCCAAATGAAAATTATAGTGCGGGTGCGACGGCACCACCGGCGCAGCGACAGCAGGACCCGCCGCGGCCGACCCAGGATGACTCATATAGCTTCTCGGCCCAACAGAACCACCTAAAATACTCCTCACCGGCAAAAGGAAATAGAACTCCTTATCCCCAATCTGAAGAAGATCTTGAGAATCGAGCTTCACCGGGGCGTTCCCAGGCAAATGAAGAACCCCTTCAACGAGGCAGCCATTTTTACCGAGCACTTCGAGGGCAAATCGCCGCCGCGTGAAATCGTAGAAGATACGAGCGTGGTGGCGAGAAATGTTCATTCCGCCGCCGAGGCTGGAGAGGTCGACGTCAACGGTGGATTTCTTGGAATTCCGGCCAAGGATTATGGAGTAGGTTTGCATATAGTACTCGAAATCCTCACCTTGGAGCTTCGCGAACCCTGCTTCTACATCACTACCCGCTGTACCCATCAGAAATTGGAACTGGAATCGAAAATTGAGGATTTTAGACTGGAACGAGGCAGAGGAATCGGAGATGGAAGTCTCCAATTAAGATCGACGAACGACGATAATCCCGCCTCTGCTGTCCCTCCGGCAACCCATCCAATTTCTTCCCCCTTTCTATTGCCATGTTTACCTTTCGTTGAAATCATATATAGAAATTAAAATAATAATAATAAAATTAAAATTAAAAAAATAAAAATATTAAATTATTCAAAATACCCATTTTTATGGATTACTTTTAAAATTTTCATTTTAACTCTTAAATTTTATTTTTTTTTCAAAATAATATTCGAAAATTTTTATATTTCTAAAAAAAAAAATAAAGATATATTAAACTTTGTTGTCATATATTTAAACAAATATCCTTAAGGGTTGTTTTTTATAATTTAGTGGTTGAATTTTCAAATATTTAAAATTTTGTGGATTTACAATTTTATATATAATTAAAGTTTGAAGTTTTTTAATTTGGTGTGTAATTAAAATGTAAATAATAATAATAATAATTAATAATTAAAAAATATATTCAAGATTATAAAAATAATGTTTAAAAGTCAATAGTCCAAAAGATTCTCCATAATATATCATAAAATCTAATTTTAAGAGAAGTTCAATTAAAATATTAAATATTATAACCTAAATTAAAAAAAAAATTATATATATAAGTTTTCCCAACAATTGTTATTATTCAACCTAATTATAAATTAACATTTTAAAAAATTAAGCAATTTCTTTTAGACTATATTACCCTTAAAT